TCAAAAGCATGGTCATATATAGTTCAGGTCGTTATCGATATTGCTATGGCACTTGCTGTCTTCTTCTCTCTTTTCCAAATTGAGAAAGGACGTCAATAGAGATAGCGAAAATATCTTTAGTCGTTACAGAATCCCAGCTCTGAGGTCTGGCCACTAAAGAAGAGAACCGCAAAAATGCTGGAAGCAACTGGAATCGACTTTTGGGGGAGAGAGGCAGGCAGGTCAAAAATGGAAAGGATAACAAATCTGAGAATAAGGGAGATTACGGACGTAAAACACAATAGTAGATAATAAAAAGGCTGGTTTGGTTCGGACAAAGAATGACAGATACAAGAATACCCAGGGAAATTATTGAGTGGAAGCCAAGGGAAAGAAGAAGATGCGGCAGGCCAAGAAGAAGCTGGAGAATTGGAGTAGACGAAGAAATGAGAGGCAGAGGCTTAGAGGAGGAAGCCTGGTTTGACAGGGATGGTTGGAGATCGGGAATCGGAAGACGTAGAACGTTATAAACCGATAATTACTATTATTAATATAAATATAAAAAAGAAAAGTGAATAATTACTTGACAAAAAATTATCAGCAATTAGCTCATGTGCAAACTATCGATAATTTTGAAATTATCGCAGTTTTTTAGATGCAGCTAAATTGTCAGGTAATTGTAGTGTGATTGTTTAAAATTGACAATAACCGTTTTGTTCAAAAAAATTGGCCAACGACGAATTTTTTTTTAAATTTCCCTTATGAAATATTTTATGCACGTGTTATATTTTGATAGGAAATTTCCCAAAATTGAAATTTATTAATTTTGAAAATTTTTATGGAAAATTTCCAGTGTAATTTGCAGAAGGCAGAGAATGATAGATTGAATGATTATGGATCTGAGTGGAGATATAGACGTAGGAAAGAAGCAAGGTGGTGCATTTTGACAGAGTGAACGATTGGATTATCACGATAATACAACTCACAGTACATTATTCCCATATGACACGAGAGGCTTAAGAAGTGATAAGCCTTTTGGAATTATCGCGCTTGGTGGCATTTATAGCAAATTCTATTATAGAATTTTTTTTAAATTTTAAACTATTAAAGTTTAGTTCGTTATATAACCTTTTGAATACCACTCGATGTTTCAGGATTACCTAATACTTTTACCTGACACTCAATGTCATTATATTATTTAAATAAACAAGCAGTTACGTGATTCTGGAGACTTCTAGACCGAATGTTTCTGAACATATTGGAATAGGATGATTGTTGAGTTAAAGTGATAGAATAAACCCCAACGTCATTCAACTGATTTTATATGAAATCCTTATGGCGGACTAATGGAGGAAAAATGCAACCTTACATGGAAGTCGAACGAAAAATGAGAAGATATAGTTGCAATTGCGGACGTTAAAAAACTGTTAATATTGACCAAAATGCGACTATGTAGTGTTGAAGACAGTTTTTCATGACGTTTTCGCAGAGTCAACCATAGACTGATGTTTATCCGTGTTTTTGTTGGTCTCACTGAGTGGTATTCAAAATGTTTAAATCAGGAAATTCAAACAAGAGTACTTCGAGCAAATATATTTAATAATAATCTTAGCAGAGCGTTTTCGGACTCCCGGCCATCCTGCGTGCTAATTGTCAGTCAAAATGCACAGGAACCACTGAATGAACAATTACAGTCATTGAACACAAATTGTGAATAGAAAAATTGTAAAAATATATGTATAAAAGTGAAAAAATGGTCCATTTTCTTACAGTGGAGCTTTGAAAATTACAAAAAGAAAACTTCAGTCTTCTACACTAATTTTTTTATTTGTTTCTTTGTCGGAAAACTTATATTAGGACTTGTTTCGGGATTATAAGAATCCCATCATCAGCTGAAACAATTACAAAGGAGAGCTTAGAGTTTGACGTTTGTGACTTGAAATATATGAAAAATATCACTAAATATTGTGTAAATATAGATTTAAACTTTTAAACTTACCCAGAAATTATTCCGGAACACACTACCTACACCCCTCAAGGGCTAAAACTACCCATTTATATGTATAAGGAGAAAATCGGAAGATATGAAGTGGAGTGAAATCACTGAAATCCCAATTATTTTAACAAATTTCAAAACAGGACTTTATTTTGAGAAATTAAATAAATAAATTATTTCAAGAAATTGAATAAATAATTTCTTAAAATAAGGTCCTGTTTTGAAATTTGTAAAAATAATTGGGATTTCACTCCACTCCATATCTTTTCTCCTTATATAAATGGGTAGTTTTAGTCCTTGAGGGGTGTACAGTGTGTTTCGAAATAATTTCTGGGTAAGTTTATGTTTAAATCTATAAGGGTGTCCCAGGGAAAACAGTCCACCCCGATTTATTAGATTTGGGATGAGAATCTGGGAAAACGCTCGGACACGTCGGTGTTTGATTTGAGGCGGAACTATTTTTCAGTTTTTTTCATCCCCGTAGCTTCAACTCCCTAGCTGCGGGGAGAACAACCCCCCAAATTTGAATAGGGAATAGGGTTCGTATCATACCTCTTTTTAAAGGTCTCATCGAGTTATTAATGGCCCTAGAAATTCATCTCATTATTTTCATCCGTAACGAAATGGCAGCTTGTCAAAATCTTGGAAATAGACTATTGTTTTAGTTGGAGTAAAAGCGATACTTAGCTCCTTTAATAAAAACACGTGTAAAAATACCTACAATTTACAATTCTCGTGTACACCTCATTAATAATAATAATAAAAAACTTCAATTTCAAGTATTTTTATGCCTTGACTCCCACTAAAACTATAGTCTATTTCCAAGATTTTGACAAGCTGTCATTTCGTTACGGATGAAAATAATGAGACAAAATTCTAGGGCGATGAAGAACTCGATGAGACCTTTAAAAAGAAGTATGACACGACCCCTATTCCCTATTCAAATTTGGGGTGTTGTTCTCCCCCTAGCTAGGGGGTTGAAGCTACGGGGATGAAAAAAACTGAAAAATAGTTCCCCCTTAAATCAAAAATCGACGTGTCCGAGCGTTTTTCCAGATTCTCATCCAAAATCCAATAAATCGGGGTGGACTGTTTTCCCTGGGACACCCTGTATGTACCTACACAATATTTAAGTGAAATTTTTTATATATTCTAAGTCACAAACGTCAAGTTCTCTTTTGCAATTGTTTCAGCTGATGATGGGATTCTTATAATCCCGAAATATGTCCTAAGTTTTCGAACAAAGAAACAAATAAAAAAATTAGTGGAGAAGACTGAAGTTTTCTTTTTGTGATATATAAAAGTTGTGAAAAGGACTGAACTACACATTAAAAATTGCGTCGGACTAACCTATTAAAATCCCAACGTACCTATATTAAAAAGGGGGAATGGGTTGAAGTTGAATTTGGTGGTGTCAAGCAGGATCACATTTTCACCTTCCGCTTAACTAAGCTGAGGATGGCCGGGAGACCAAAAGCGCTCTGCTAAGATTATTAAATATATTTGCTCCACGTATTCTAGTTTCATTTTTCTGATTTTTCGACGAGCAACACAGCCACTCAATCGCAAATATTTTGAGAAAAACTCATTAGGTATAAGTTTAGTGAACACAGCGGTTTCGAACGATTTCTGTTCAAATTTCAAACAAATTTGAGAAAATGTGCAATATCTGCAACTATATAGTTAAATTCTAGAGTAGAATAAACTGACACTTTTTCAAGGCAGGTTTTATCACGCTACACAAAATTAAATACAAGTTATTGTGCTTGAATAATTTTATTATTGTTGCTCGCCGCACCTCCTTAAAAATTTAATTGTTTGTTACTTTCAAGTCTCGGCGAACTTAACTCAAAAGTTTGCCTATTTGTTATTTGAGTTTCTCTCCCTTTACTATGTTTATTTTCTTTGGTTGGGTGAAAAACTCGAGTTTTTTGGAGGGTTATGTTAAAATAAAAGTCGCATTTAGTTCAGTAACATCTGATACAACTATTCTCAAAATAAACCCAGAAAAGCTCCCTTATAATAATCCAAATTCCTCCGACATAGTTTGCTCCGAATGAACTACCCACCACTTTACCTTATTTTTCACAGAGAATTCCTCTACGCTTTTTCCAATACATAAAGTATCTTGGAAAAGCACCTATATCAATTTTTATAAAGGAAAATAGCACCGAACCGTGCCCAATATTTAGAAAATTCTTTACCTAACAATATGGCTAGAGTCTGGGGCAGCATTTTTCTTTTTAGGAAACGTGCCTTCAGACTTTCTGGGAAATATTTTCTCAAAACCATTCCGTCTGTTAAAATATTTTTCATTAAAATTTAGTCACTAAAATTTTTGTTCCTTTCGGGGATAAAATAGCACCAGCAGTTTTCCGCTAGGAATATCCGATATTGAATTACTTACTCGTCCAGGTAACTAGGGCGAAATTGCCTTTTTTCAACGCTTAGGCCGATTTGGTCCTTTGATGTTTAAAATTGATTCTCACCGGACCACTGGACCGCGTTGCATGATTAATTAATTTTATGAGCTGAGTTGTATTTTGAATAGAAAATCAATAAGATTTTTGTGCAAATACTTAAATATCACAAGCTTTTTTCACAAGGGTTTAATTTTCGATGAAATTTCTATCACACGGAAGTTTAAATAGGTCTTCATCACCTTTTTTAAAATGGTCATAGTTTTCTTTCTCATATCTATTCTCTCAGCAGTTTATTATGAAAATAATGACTACAATGTGCAATAATATAATTTCAATTTGGGAAAACAAAAAAAAATATTCAATTTTCCGACTTATTGTTTGAAAGCCCTTCTAATAAATATTAAAAGGTGAAAAAAATAATCACGTCGAGATTTGATTAAGTTGATGATAATTATTTAATTAAAAATATGGATTTAATTTTTCCAGCCCTGAACAACGACTTAAAAGTCGGTCAAAGTTTAGTTACCAATCTATTATGCTCATTGATTTTCTCTCCCAAAAAAAAAATGAATTCAAATAAATTAGTAGAAATAATAATTTACCTGGTCGTAGCATTTTCTAACAAAATTAATCACAGTCTCACCGCGCTAAACAAATAAATCCTAGAATATAAATGATTAGCGCATCGAAGTACTCCGGTACCGCTATTATTAATACCGCGCTCGCGATGTTTAACGGCCGTTTTGCAAGTACAAAATGATACAGAAACTGCAAGAAGATGCGTTATCAAATCTTATATGGTTGACCGTGTTGCCGATTTCGTTCATGGATTTACCATGTCAATGGGTTATTTTATTAACTCGCTTAAAAACGACGGCAACGTAGCGGGAAATTTACAAAATAATTAAGCTTACCTGAAAAATATATGCTTCATGGAACGCTTTTGAGTCTGTCAATATTTTGTACCCACAATGATTGTCTTTGTATGTACACAAAAAAAAAGTTAACAAATTGAAGCTTTCGCACAGAAATAATATACCTATTCATGTAGGTACTCCATGGTTTCAGAGTTTTTTTTGAAGATACTTATATTTGCTTCTCATGAGCCCTAATATTAAAAATATAATATAATAAGGTTCACTTTTATTGAATTTAGAAAATTAAAAAATATAGGTTTTTAAAGTTTAGAAAAGCCTAAATACTATAGGAGACTTAGGGAAAAGTACGCGTCTGAAGTTAGCACCCGATTCTCAGCAACGGGTTTTCAGGAGGAGCGCATTACCGCCAACAGTGCTTAAAGATCGATTTTTGTATAAAGTTCTAACATTTTGGACAAGGGCAATGATGACAGTTTCTTCTTCTTTGTTCGATTTTTTTTTTTTTTTTCAATTAAGGTAGGCATAAGAACAGGTTTTCATAATTCTCCCACACAAATTTTATTTGTATTTTGTTTTGTATTTGTATATACAATATATCTACTCAATGAAAATGTTTCACTCTAATTTTTGTTTTAAAATGATGATACAGGTAAGGGTAGGCTTTCATATTATCTGAAAGGGAAAAAATTCTCATCAATAGGAAATTTTTGAACAGTGAACAGTGAACTACTGGTGATTTCGTGAAAATATTTTCTGTCATGTCGATTTCGCGTTTGAAAACACCTTTTTCTAAAAGAAATTAAAAATTTAATCGCGAATAAACCGGATCTTGTGATTTAATAATCACTTTTTTTAACAAAATTTATTCAGAAAATGACGTCTGATTGGTCTGTTTCATAATGAGTGAAAAAATCACTGATAAAAATTTTCCTACCAATGAATTTTTTTTACCTTGTGAATATTATGATAGCCTTTCATCATACCTTCATTTTAAAACAGAAATTTGAGTGACACATCTATTTTTCGAAAAAAAAAAAATATAGGTATACATATTTCCTGTCCTGCCCCCCCCCCCCAAAGTTCCTAAAATATATCGAAAGTTGGGAAAATTTGGATAAAAAATTTAAAGTTGGGAAAAATTGGTAGACAAAAATTTGCGCACCTTATTTGCGAGGACTAATTATTATTATTATTGTCTTTTGAGAAATACTTAAGAATGAAGTTAACTGACTTTTCAGAATCCATCGGTGTAATGTCTGGAGATCGCGGAGGCCCGTTAATGATACCACTAGTGGAAATTATTATTCCTGGAATTATGAGCTTGATATGTCGTTGGATTTAGATTAAAAAGTAGAGTTTATTAGGCATAAAATAAAAAAAACTCGACCATTTGAAAAAACAAAGTTGATGATGATCGCGAAGAAACGAAACGTCTGATCAAAAATCTAATAACATTATCATGTAGTGGAGAAAAAGTAGCAATGAGAATGTGAAGTTTATTGTGCGATATCATTTCAAATAAAGTCAGAAAAAAATAAAAACCATTTCGGCAAAATTCGGTTTTTCATGGATATCTTCGGAATATGTAATTCGGAATTTACGAAATATCAAAACATGACGCCACTGAGCTCAGTAATGCGCAACTCTTTCCAAATTTAACCAACCCTATATCTCTTATGGTTGCCGAGATCAGACTGCATCCTTATCCGGGACACCCTGTATACATGTCAAACTTTTTATCAGTTTTTGAAGTGAAACTTCTTAGGCGGTGGTCTGATATTTAGATAAGAATATGGAGATGGAGAGTGATTTGAAAAACGCATCACGTAACGTCACGTTTTGGCCAATTTCGTTACACGAGAGATGAGAGAGAAGGAATATATAGTAGACTATAGAGAGACGGAGAAAGCGAGCCAATGGGTACATTCAGGCGGTCCCAGCGGCTAAGCTCAGCCACTCAGCAGGAACTTTATTCTCGAAACAGGGGAGCAGCGTTCTCATTGGAACGAAGGTTCTGTCTTTGTCGTCCGGCATAACACTGACAATGACAGAGCAATCGTTCTTCTGAGAACACTGTTCCTTGGTTTCGAGAATAAAGTCCCTGATGAGTGGCTGAGCTTAGCCGCTGGGACCGCCTGAATGTACCCAATGACAATCACAGACGAGGAACGATTAACACAAACCAAGGTTTATAAGCAAAGAGGAATGCCTATTGTTGTCAAGCGCAGATACCCTTGTGACGTCACTATAGATGCGCGTCTCCCTTTTGTGTGGCCTTTCGTCTTTACCACGACTCATACGCGAAGTCTAAAAGCTGTATGCGGGAGGGTATAGTTTTTGAAAAGTTTCACCTCCCAACACGTGCACAATGCGCTGCACATGATTTTTCTTAAGTGAAACTTCTTGTAAAGTGTTTTGAAAGACGCGTCACGTTAACGTAACGACACGTTTTGGCAAATTTCGGCACACGAGAGACGAGAGAGAAGAAAGATATAACGTAGACAGAAGGAGAAAGACAGCCAATGACAATGACAGCCGACGAACGATTCACACAAACCAAGGATTATAAACAAAGTGGATTGCCTATTATTGTCAAGCGTCGTTACCCTTGTGACGTCACTACAGATGCGCGTTTTTCTTTTGTGTAGCCTTTCGTCTTTATACCTCGACTCATGCGGTATGTCTAAAAGTTGTATGAGGAAGGGAATAGTTTTTAAAAAGTTTCACTTTTTTACACGTGTACGATGCTATATATGATTTTTTTTATGTTTCAAAAAAGTTGGAAAAATTAGGAATGTCACCCCCCCCAAACCAGAGGCCTTCGCTACGTCCCTGCTAGTGGATATTATGAAAGCCAACCATCATACCTTTATTTTAAAATGAAAATTTTGGGGTACACATATTCTATTTTTCGAAAAAAAAAATTATTTCCTGTCATATTGATTTTGTGCTTGAAAACATCTCTAATTTTCACTGATAAAAAATTTTCTACAAATGAAAATTTTTTCCCTGGTGGATATTATGAAAGCCAACCATCATACCTTCATTTTAAAACAAAAATTAGAGTGACATATCTTCTATTTTTCGAGAAAAAAAAAATAAATTACTGTCATATTGATTTTATGTTTGAAAACACCTGTTAAAAAAAAAACACCTAAATTTTCACTGAAAAAAAAAAAATCTAGGTACCGATGAAAAATTTCTCCATCGTGGAGATTATGCAAGCCTACCCTTATGTACTTTTCACACGCTCCGAAGCGTGCGAAAAGTTACTTTTCACACGCTAAAATAAAAATTACACTTCTACTGAATTTTTGTTCTGTAAGCAACTCTGAGGGCATTCAGCGTACGTACCAAAATTGATCGTTGATTATAACCTTAAATAATATTTTTAACAAAAAAAAAATTAATCTCAATATGAATATAACTATTTCGCCAGTCGTAGAAAAAGTATAGTGTGTAACGCGTGTGAAGAGCACTTTTCACACTTGTGTGGTTTATGCCACTCGCCTGCAGCTCGTGCCACCAAACTTCCCCACGCGAGTGAAAAGTGCTATTTTCAACACTTGTTGCACAATATACTATTTTCTACGATGTGCGCAAAGCCGCTACTTTGCGCACGCAAAGAAACCCTTTCCCAAAACTGAGCTGGATTTTAAATTTAATGCTCCTAACCATGTTTTTTCCATATCATAAATTATCCGGAATACTAAAAAATAGTGTTAAATAGAAATACAAAATTGAAATATGTACCATGTTGTATTTTTGTGGCCTACATGCACCTCCGACACTGCTTTTTTTTCCTTCAATCATGTCGATGTCACAAGTTTGTTTACTAACCGGTGAAATGATAAACAATCCGCTGGTTTTCCTTTTTTCTGACACACTGCACACTTATTAGTCATTTTGAATCCTGAATAAGAAACTTTCACGAAATGTATAAACATGTAAATAATAAATTTTTAAACAATTCCACTTTAAAGCAGTGAAACACCCAAAAAAGTCGATAAAATAAACACACAATAATATATATTGACATTTACGCAGGTACGGCAATAGGTTGCTACTGGGAACCACCCAAACAATATACTCTGTTTAGCTAAACTTGTATAGTGTTCTTTTCGTTTACATATTGCCTTAGAGAGAGATGTCTAAAGATCCAAAATGTAAACGGATTTTTGGAAATCGTACTATAGAAAACCAGCGTAAACAAAGTAAGAGAGACAAAATCAAAATATTTGGAGAGAGATCTTTGTACCATATTTGGAAGTTGATTACTCATCTTTTAGTGTTAACTATATATAATCTAAGGTTATGAACATAGCTTCATTTCACTGAAAAGTGGTCTAAATTTGGAATTGAACAGGAATTAGTGAAGGTCTGTAAATGACATTTTATTTAAACGCCCCTCTTAAACTGCGAAAAGAGATGTAATGTAAAAAATTCGACAAGATATAAGGAACACGAATACGTAAATGTTGACAACGATGATTGAAAAGAATCTTGGAAATGATAAACAGTAAATGGAGTAGGTAAAAGAAGACAACCGAGGATTTACTTATACAGTAGGGAAATTCTACAGGACTCCGTTCAAAGAAGAATCCTACCCCTATCGACATAGATAATGACAATATCATGAAACACCATAGTAACCTACATATGTATGTATAGTTCGGAGGTCTGGCCTCTAAGAAATAGAAACGTAACAATGCTGGAAGCAACTGCAGGCGAGTGGCATGCAGGTCAAAAATGGAAAGGATAACAAACCAGAGAATTGGAGCATTTATGAACGTTAGATACACATGGCAGCTACGAGAATACCCAAGCAATTTATTGACTAGAGGCCAGGAAGAAAAAGAATACGTGGCAGACTCAGCAGA